CGGCTGGGTGTTGTAGAGGCTCATGTGAGGAACACAGAACCATGGTCCATTTTTCCTGAACGCCCCAGGAATGTCAAAACAGCGGGAAAGAAATGGTCCAAAGTTCGATCCTCCGTGATGACAAATTTTTGCAATTTATGTTGGCGCCTCCAAATTGCCGCAAAACACGACAATGACATCTATTCTCGACGATGGCGCCATTTGGCGGCAATCTGGGGCGCCAAACTATATTGCAAAAATTAGTCATCACCGGGGATCGAACTCTGGACCATTTCTTCACCACTGTTTTGACATTCCTGGAGGCGTTCAGGAAAAATGGATCATGGTTCTGTGTTCCTCGCATGAGCCCCTACAACATGCAGAAAACCATTTCGAAAAAGCGCTCCATGTCCTGAAAGACCTTCCTTGTTAGTATATTCTTTTGCTCTCATCATTACTAGTCGGCCAAGTACAATAGTACAAGGTCGGCAAAAATTACGGTAACAAGACAAGCTGATCATAAAAATCATTGTGACGGGAAAGACCCAAATCAACAACATGGTCGTACTAATGGAAGCTTGCGAATCAGAAAACAATGTTACTCCTTGGAGTGGCCGCTTTCTGCGCTGATACATGAGGGGAGTGTGGTACAGGAGAAAAGCGATTTATTCTTATTTTTGAGATCCTCTTAAAACGTGGACACTGGGGTAACAGTATTTGCGCTTCTGTGCTTCTGGATGGTGGAATCTTTATTTAGCCTAACGTTTCGACAAATTCGTCGTTATCAAAGGTCTGAAAGCGTTTCGAAACTTCAAGTATTACCTATCCGCTCAACACAATTACGCATTCAGCCAAGTGAGCCATGCTAATTAATCAGAATGGAAATCAGAGAAAACAAGGGGTTGGGATTTCCACTCTCTGAAATCAGCATGGTTAATACTTGGCTCAATGCGGTAATTGTGTTGAGCGGATAGGTAACACTTGAAGTTTCGAAAACGCTTCCAGGCCTATGATAACGACGAATTCGTCG